GGAAGAAAGAAATGGATGAGGAGATCGGATCAATTGAGAAGAGTGAGATGGGAAGCAAAGCTGAGCTCGTTGAGGAGTTTAAAGAAGTGATGAAGAGGGAGTTTGAGATGACCGATTTGGGCATCATAAAGTATTTTCTGGGTTTAGAGGTGGATCAAAGAACAACAGGTACTTTTGTGTCCCAAAAGAGGCATCAGCCACCGTGGCGCCGGGGGTGCTGGACGTCGTGTGGCTCGCGGGGCCATGGTACGCGGAGGAGTATCGCGCTCTGGTGGAAGAGGCATCGAAATGAAAAAAAAAATTTAAGCTTATGGGGGAGTTTTGTTAGATAATCTTAAATTTTAGAGATATCCGAGTTAGTTTATCTGTTTTATTTGTTTCAGTTTAGATAAGATAGTTTTTGATAAGATTTGTTTTGATAAGATATTTTATTATCTTCTTGTTAATTCGGTACGTTGTACAATGGCTATTTAAAGGTCATCTCTTATTCAATAAAAATTACAGTGAGTTGCTACGTTCACAAAATATTAGTATTACCTCGTCTCTTATTTTCTACAAATCAGCCCCTCCTTCACCGCAAGCGAAATCTAGATACGCAATGCTTCCCGACGCAAAACGTGTTTTTGGAAATCCTGCCACTGACGACCCCTGCAGCTTGGAAACCCCGTCGCTAACAATCGGCGTCGACGAGGGCTGCTTTTGTCTGTCGGTGCTAACTGGCAAGGGATGGTCGTGGTAGTGAGCTTTCAACAACAACGGTTATGAGGGAGCTTAGTAGCAGCAAAAGCTATTATGAAATGTGAACGTGAGGTTCACTCCAATATTGCCTTAAATATTTTCCTCATTGAGTTCTCTTCCAAATTTAGAATGAACTTTTATGAGCAGGCACTAGAGAACTGATCTTAAAAGTGATTTAGTGACAATTTTGTAAATAAGATTATAATTTTCCAAATCGGTCACATTTTAGCTGATTTTAAAAGTATTTTTATGATCGGCTAAAATATGACTAATCTTAAAAGTTGACAAAAATGTCACTGCGTCACTTTTAAGATCGAGTCTTTAGTGACCAATCTTAAAAGTTATAACCTTATTTACAAAAATGTCACCGCTCCATTTTTAAGATCGGCTCTCTAATAACCGATCTTTAAACCCTGATAGTGAAACTAATTTTTGTACTAGTGATCACACAGAAATATATTACAAAAATACTAACATGCATTCATAAGTAAAATCTCTCAATTTCTCATTAATTCATATAATTAAGGGTTCTCATCAATCTACAAGAACCCTAACTTATAGAGCACATCCCAATGAATTTAATTATCATCTAGATCATCAATTTTACCAACACAATATAACAAACACATTCATAAATCAATATAAAACTCGATTGAATCATCAATTTCAAGGTCAAAAAATGGACAATCTTAAGAATTTTAGGGGTTTCTTATTAGCATATCAGTAGAAATCATGAAAGAGAAAATTTCAATATCAGCATATCAGCATTTTGAATTCACAAAAATCATGAAGAAGAAAATTTCAGATTATTATTGATCAACCTGCTCACAGTGTACAATCCTTATTGTTTAAATACAAAAGCTAGAATTAGCTTAAAAACAGAAAAAGGTTAAGAAGATAACCAAAAGATATTTTACTAAATTGATTAGATAAAAATATTAACAGAATGCGTTGGAATAACGGATTAAAGTGTTAATCCTAATACCCCTTCTCAAGTTGGGTGATAAATGTTTAATAAACCCAACTTGGAGATAGCAATATGAAATGGTTTAGGAAATAATGCTTTTGTAAAAGCATCAGCCAATTGATTTGCAGACAGAACATGAATCAAATGCAAATGACCCTCTTGAATTTTGATGCGAATTAGGTGACAATCCACTTCAATGTGTTTTTTCCTTTCATGAAATGTTGGATTTTTGGAAATTTGTATAGTTGATTGACTATCAAAAAAGGTTGCAAATGGAGTTGGAATTTTGATATGCATACTATATATCACACAAGTATTTAAGCCACTGCAACTCACATGTAAGAGAAGTCAATGCTCTATATTCAGCTTCGGATGATGATCTGGAAACAGTGGATTATTTCTTGGATTTCCATGAAATTAGAGAGTTGCCTACAAAAACACAATAACACGTAACAGATCTTTGGGTAGTAGCACATGTGGCCCAATCTGAATCGGAAAAGGCTTGAATTTTCAATGGATTAGTGGAGGAATAGAACAAACTGAGACCAGGAGCACCTTTAAGATACCTAACAATTCTTAGAGCAGCCTGCATATGAGGCTCTCTAGGCTTAGAAACAAATTGACTCAATTGTTGGACAGAAAAACTTATGTCTGACCGAGTATTTGTCAAATATAGAAGCCTACCAATTAATCTTCTAAAAATAGTGGGATCATGTAACAAATCACCATGATTAGCATGTAACGTCATGGTTGGATATGTAGGAGTTGGAGCAGGTTTACATCCAAGGAGATATGTTTCATCAATTAATTCTAAACAGTATTTTCTTTGATTTAAAAGAATCCTTATCTTAGATCTAATAACTTCAAGACCTAGGAAGAACTTTAAAGAACCAAGATCATTGATATGAAATTTGCTTTAAGATACCTAACAATTCTTAGAGCAGCCTGCATATGAGGCTCTCTAGGCTTAGAAACAAATTGACTCAATTGTTGGACAGAAAAACTTATGTCTGACCGAGTATTTGTCAAATATAGAAGCCTACCAATTAATCTTCTAAAAATAGTGGGATCATGTAACAAATCACCATGATTAGCATGTAACGTCATGGTTGGATATGTAGGAGTTGGAGCAGGTTTACATCCAAGGAGATATGTTTCATCAATTAATTCTAAACAGTATTTTCTTTGATTTAAAAGAATCCTTATCTTAGATCTAATAACTTCAAGACCTAGGAAGAACTTTAAAGAACCAAGATCTTTGATATGAAATTTGTTATGAAGATGAGCCTTGACTTTCTTAATTTCTGTCATATCATTGCCACTGAGGACTATGTCATCAACATAGATTAAAAGTATACTAATAGAAGACCCTGTAAAGTTTACAAATAATGAATGATCTACAAAACTCTGCTTGTAACCCATTAAGGTAAGTTCTGAGGTGAGTTTTTGGTTCCAATTTCGACTAGCCTGTTTAAGGCCATAAAGGGATTTTTCTAGTTTGCAAACTAGTTTGGATGAAGGTAATCTTAAACCTTGAGGGGGTCTCATGTATACTTCCTCGTCTAAGTCCCCATGCAGAAATGCATTATCTATATTTAATTAATGTATGAACTAATTATAAGATGAAGCAAGAGCAAGTAAAAACCTTATTGAAGTAATCTTAGCAACAAGTGAGAAAGTTTCAAAATAGTCAATTCCCTCAGTTTGTGTAAAACCTTTGGCTATCGTTCCACAGTACCATTTGCTTTATTCTTAGTTCTGTAAACCCATTTACATCCAATTAACTTCTTTCCTAGAGGAAGAGTCACCAAAGACCAAGTTCTGTTTCTTTCTAAGGCATCAAGTTCAACAATCATAGCTTGTTTACAACAGTCTTTTGTGCTAGCTTCTTTGAAACTTGTAGGCTCAATATGTGCAGATATGGAATTACAAAAGAAGGTATGATCAGTAGAAAATTTTGAATATGACATATATAAATGCATAGGATAAAGAGAATTGGAATTAGAATCAGAAGAAACAGTATTGTAACAGTGATATTGATCTAAGTATCCGGGTCTAGATTTAGATCTCAAAGAGACACGTGTAGTAATAGGTTGAATTTTTCCAGTTTCTATTGAAATAGATTGAGACACCTCAATAGAAGGGTCTTAAGTATGATTTTCAAAATTGTTATGATCATTTTCAATACAGTTGGAATTATTAGTTAAATGATCACTATAGGATAGGAAAAAAATCATATGGCTGAAAAATATTATCATTACTGATAGGTACAATATTAGAATTAGATTGATCATCAAAAGCATTGATGTATGGAAAAATTGTTTGATGAAAAATATCATGTCTAGACACTAAGATATATTTTGAGTGAAAATTAAAAAGAACAAACCCTTTAGTTCCAGTTTTAAAACCAAGGAAAATGCATGTGTGTGCTCTAGGTGCTAACTTGTTTCTTCCTCCAGATAAAGTAGAAACATAAGCAAGACAACCAAATGTTTTTAAATCATGCAAATTTGGCTTTTGATTAAAGATCATTTCAAATGGAGATTTGTTTTTAAGGAAATGAGTTGGTAATATATTTATAATATGCACAACATGTTTCATGGAAAATGACCAGAATGACTTAGGAGTTTTGGACTGAAAGAGAAGTGATCTACAGACATTCAAGATATGTTGATGCTTCCTCTCAACAATTCCATTTTGTTGAGGGGTCTCAACACAACTTGTTTCATGAAGAATTCCTTTAGTATTAAAAAAATCTTTAAGAATAAATTCTTTTCCATTGTCGGATCTAAGCTTCTTTAATTTGCATGAAAACTGATTTTCAGTGAAAATGATAAAGTTTTGTAAAATACTCCTAAACAGTTTTATTTTTCATAAGATAAATCCATGTGAAACGACTATAATCATCTACTATAGTTAAAAAATATTTGTAACCTTCAATAGATTGAACATTTAAGGGACCCCAGATATCAACCTGAATAAGTTCAAAAAAATGTTTAGATTTGGTCATACTTATAGGAAAAGATAAAAAAAAATTCTTAGCAAAAGAACAAGTGTCACAAGCATCAATTTTATGAAAAGGAATATCAGTATAATGAGAAGAAATGATTTGAAGAATTTTATTAGAGGGGTGACCCAATTTATTGTGCCATACAGAACCAATATCAGTAATGTGTTTATTATTAGAATTATATGAAACAGAATTACAATATACTATTCCAACAGAAGAAGTGGACAACTCATTTTGTTCCAAGAGCTGAAACAATCTATGATTCTTCTTAGCTACTCCAATCCTCTAGAAGGTAGGTATCTGCACAATAATACAATTGTCTTGACAAAATACCACAATGCAATCATTGTTGGCAATAAGTTTTGGAATTGAAATCAAATGTACTGTGAAGTCAGGTACATATAAAACTTTATGGAGAACCAAGTTATTAAGATAAATGGTGCTTGTAAAGCTAGCAACAGAGTATTGATTATTAGGTAGTCTAATGGATATAGGTTTAATAGGTGTAAGAGTATTAAAACTAGCTTTAGAGGGGCAAATATGGTCAGTGGCACCACTATCCAATATCCATCTAGGTTGAAAGGAAGGAATACCTGGATGATTATCGGTACTTTGATAAGCATTGTTTACAAAAGAATTATTGGTTAGGGGTTGTTGAAGAATAGCTAAATGAGCCTGATATTCATCCCGAGAGAAATAGAATTTATTCTGAGATTTAGTCTCCTCCGGTACAGAAGTATCTTGAACACTTGTGGATCCAGTTTCAGCATTGTTAGCAGAAGGTTTTGTGGAATTAGAAGGAAGCTTGTTGTTTTTGTAGCCAGGAGGAAATCCATATATTTGAAAACATGCATCTATGTTGTGATTGATTTTTCTAGAATTAGTGCAGAATTTTGTGGTTTTACTATTTCCTCTACCATTAGCTCTGCCAAATCTTCCACCACCACGAGTATTAGTGAAGCTACCTCTATTTGGGAAAGTGGTCTTGGTTGAATCAGAATTAATTGTTGCTAAAGTTATAGACTCCTGAGAATTTGATCCACCAAATTCACGTTCTTGTTGAAGTACCAAGGAAAAAGTGTGAACCATATCAGGCATAGGTTCCATTAACATCACTTGAGATCTGACTTGAGCAAATTCATCATTAAGACCTCGTAGAAATTTGATAAGACAATCATCATCACGTTCGTTTTGAATCTTGGCAATAAGACCACAAGAGCCTGTAATAGAACACTTACACACCAAAATCGTACGATACATGGATAATTCCTTCCAAAGAATTCGTAAACGAGTATAGTAATGAGACACAGTGAGATCATCTTGTTTGAGTTGTTGTACCTCCTCTTGAAGATCAGCAATTCTGAATTTGTCACGATGGGTGAAACGATCGCAAAGATCTTTCCAAATTTCAGCAGCGGTATCCATCCACATGACATATTGCTTTATATCAGAGGTCATAGAGCACGTTAACCACAACATTACCATCTTGTTGCAGCGACGCCATGCCTCATGCAAAGGATCTTTTGAATCTGGACATGGAATCTTGCCAAGAACAAAGTGTTCTTTGTTCTTTGTTTCCAAAGCCACGAGCATATCATGTTTCCATTGTTGATAATTAGTATCAGAAAGTAATGGTGTAACGAGAACAAGAGCTGGATTTTCTCCAGGATGAAGAAAGTACGGATTGCTTGGGTTGATAAGATGATCAGAAAGTTGGTTTTGGTCAGAATTTTTATTGGATTCTGCCATGGTTGGTAAAAAAATAGATGAAAAAGAAAAGTTTCAACGAATTTGAAGGAATGTGGAAGTTATGGCTCTTGAGGACGATGATACCATATTAGCATATCAGCAAAAATCATGAAAGGGAAAATTTCAATATCAGCATATCAACATTTTGAATTCACAGAAATCATGAAGAGGAAAATTTTAGATTATTATTGATCAACCTGCTCACAATGTACAATCCTTATTGTTTAAATACAAAAGCTAGAATTAGCTTAAAAACAGAAAACGATTAAGAAGATAACCAAAAGATATTTTACTAAATGGATTAGATAAAAATATTAATAGAATGGATTGGTATAACGTATTAAAGTGTTAATCTTAATATTTCTCCCACTACCCATTCTCTCTTGTAATGCCACAAATATAAAACCTAATTGAATCATCAATTTCACAAAATAACATACCAATTGACAAAATCTCAATCCCTCATGAACCTTGACTCATAGCACATTTAAAATAATTCAATCTCACATTTAGGACATCCATTTACACAATCAATACCAAAAATATAACCAGAAATCCATATAGAAATTTTTAGAATTATCAAACATACAAACAAAAATAGATGTAAAATTCCTAATAATTCTAGGGATCTCTTCCTCTACCCATTCCCTTCTCTAACTACACATACGAAAGTCCCCTTCTTCCCCCTTACTTGGTTGCGTTAATAGGAAAAATTTTGATGCCATTTGGGATTGATCTAAGTACTCCTTCTAAAAGCTCTCTTCTTCTCTTCTCTTTCTCTCCTAACCCTTTAGAATGCAAAATGAAGCAAATAGGGTTAATTCTGCTTGACCCCTTTCTTAAAATAATCCACTGGTTCGAGTCAATCCAACTCGCTCCTTTTCTCGACCTGCTTTTGTTTTCCCCCAAAATAGTAAAATAAATAAAATAAATAAATATATAATACAAAATAATTTTTCCCTAACAATAATAATATTAAAATATTTCTGACCCAAAATATAATAATATAATTTTGATATCAAAATATCTTATAAAATTAATATTTTAAATTTTATAATAAAATATATAATTAATCTAATTGTAAAAATATAGAAGGTTGTATCTCATCTCGACTCCTAAATTATCCCTTAAAATATATAAATAATTATTTAAAATGCTAATAAAAATACTTATTTAATACGTACAAAATAATTATCTAAAATATAAAAAAATAATCATTGAAAACGTACAATATATTTCCCTATTATAATAAAAATAATTTTGACCAAATATCATATAATAATAATAATAACTTTTTTTTTTTAAAACAGGGTGTTACAAAAGTACTCATGATCATAACCCTTGACCACTTAATCTTCAAAGGATACTTCGACAGTTTCAGTTGTTGAAGGTATCGAAGTCAACTTATCAATTTACTGAATAATGAATATTGTTTAGACAACCTCGGTCAACAAACATGCCAAAGACACCTTCATCAACTCACATAAATAGCGAATATTGCCTCAGTATCTTCAATCGTCAAAGAGGCCAAAGTTACCGAAGAGTTCACAAGACCTGTTAGCTTATATGACCAATAAAAGGAGTAAGATGAGATTAGAGTGTTAATTACTTAATCAATAATCAAGGAATAAAGCCCACCAAATCCAGGCCCAATACAGTCAGTATAAATACTTACACAAATCGAGATAAAATCATTGTTCATTTATTACTCACTTGGATCCTTGTGCCCATCCTGACTTGAGGGTTGGAGTACTTTTGCAGGTACCCCACTCATTGATGTCTTCAATCGAACTAGGACTTAATTTGGTTCCAAACTCACTTGTGTACCCTCCAGACAGGTACACCTTGTATTCTTATCCTCTTGCTTAATAATGTTAATATTATTTTGCTGATAAAAAATGTGTATTTGTATATTAATATTCATATTTTTAATTAATTTAATTTTATGATTATAATATTGTTTGTAAATCATGTATAACATTATATAAATTTTCACAATAGTAGAAAATTACATTTTAAATTTCATTTTCTTATTTTCATATGATAATTAAAGTTTTGAATTTTAATTTTATTTATTGGTTATAGTTATGTAATAAAAAAGATCATAAATTAAATTAAATATAAATAAAGAAAGTGGTTATATTTGAAAGAGTAAATTATACACTCCACTACTATGAGATATTACATTAATCTCCTCTCTTATGTTAAAAAATATATATTTACCTTTTCGAAAGGATTCAAATATTTGACACTTCCCTTTCAAAAAAATTTGTTAAAATTTCATTAGCTTTCTATTAAAAAAATATAAATAAAAAAAACTATTCTCAAGCATCCTTTACATCATTGCTCCTCAAAGATACAAGTATTATATCATTCTTCCTCCATGAATTTAAATAGAAGTTTTCCTCCCTAAACATATATAATATAACATATTTTACTATAATATATGTATATATAAATAAAATAAAATAAAAACACAAGTATTAAAGTAGCATTTAACTAATGTTATTAATATAGTTATTTTATAAATATTTAAGTAAATTTGTATTGTTCTTATTAGTATTAATTAATTAATATATTTATTGAATTTAATAAACGTGATATATATTAGACGTACAATTTTTAATATATATATATATATAAAGACAAACAAAAAGGAACACATTCTTTTATCTCAAAATTGCTATTTTTAACAATTATTTTAAATATACTTACATATGTTAAAAAAATTACCGAGTGAATGATAATTTAGTAAATTTAAAATATTTTAATATATATTTTAATGTAAATTATATTTTAAGATCAAATAATAAGTATTCTAAATTATATACATAAGAGATGATGAATACTATAATACTTACATTTATTAGAAAAAGAATGTATAATTTATTTTATATTTTATCATTAAAAAAACATTGTAATATGTGCATCTCTCATTTTAACAATATTAAATAAAGTAGACTAAATTATATATTTCAATATAGGATGGCAAAAACTATAATACGACATGTAATTTAGTTTATTAAAAGTATGGTGATTTTTCAAAGCAGATATGTTTAGATTTATTATAAAAAGGTGAACTGTTTTTCGAAATTTTAGAAAGAAGTCACTAACAAATTATGAGTTAAAAGATAATTATTAAATCCCATTTTAGTATTTCTCCTTTAGGTCATCTCCAATGCTGGAACCCATGTCGGGTTAGGTCGTTTTGGGTTGCTTGGATGATAGAAAATAACATGAGTTTTTCCTCTTTTTTTTTGTGGGTCCAATAACTTGAGTTATCTCTCATCATTTCTTCGGTGGTTTTCAAAAATAAAATAATAATTGACTAAAACTCTTTGGAACTTAATGGGCTGAAATGGAATTTTATAATAAAAAAGACTCAAAAAATAAGGTGTAACGAATTAAAACTTGTTTTCTAATGGTGTGTTTCGATAAAAAATTTTACAAATTCAAAAAATTTGAAATTCTTGATATTTGAGTTATTTTTATTTCAATTTCTATCATTCTTAAAATATTTTATTTGGATAAGTCAATTCAAATTTCTTAAATTTTAAATTGTTAGTTTGGATATGATGATTTTAATTCTCCTATGATAAAATTAATTTTAAAAATATATTTGTATATTGATATGTTTAAATTAAATTTTATAAAAATAAATATTAAAATTAATATTAGATAATATTTAATAATTTTAAAAATATTTTTAAATATTTAATAATTAAAAACAAAAAAAATAAGATATAAAATAAAATATATAAGTGAAATAAAAAAAAAATAAAAAGAAATTTCAAATTTTTTCAAGAAATTTAAAAAATACTTAGATTTTAAATTTTTTATAAATTTTTTCCATCTAAACAAAGTATTTCACCTCAAAAAATTTAAAATTCTTCGAACAAATTAATTATTCCATTTAAATTCCTCATCTACATACACTCTAATAGTGTGTTTGGATGAAGACTTTTACAAATTCAAGGAATTTTAAATTCTTGGTATTTGAATTACTTTGATTTCAATTTCTATCATTCTTGAAATATTTTGTTTGGATGAGTCAATTCAAATTTTTTAAATTTTAAATTGTTAGGTTGAATATGATAATTTTATTCCATCATAATAAAAATTGATTTTAAAAATATATTTATATGTTAAGATTTTTAAATTAAATTTTATAAAAATAAATATTAATCCATTTTTAAATATTTAATAATTTTAAAAATTAATATTAGACAATATTTAATAATTCTAAAAATTAATATTAGATAATGTTTAACAATTTTAAAAATATTTTTGAATATCCAATAATTAAAAGAATGAAGAGATAAGATAAAATATATAGGTGAAATAAGAAAAACAAATATGAAGAATTTCAAATTCTCCCATTTTTGGAAAAATTTAAAATTCTACTATTTTAAGAAATTTCACAAATGCTTGGATTTCAAATTCTTCGTAAATTCCTCATCCAAACAAAGCATTTCATCTCAAAGAATTTGAAATTCTTCAAATAAATGAATTACCCTATATAAATTCCTCATCCAAACATACCATAAAGCTATTGATTTTCCTCCTCATAAACTCAATGTTTTTCCTTTTAAAAAGAGTCCAACAGATTAAACCTAATTACTCGTTTGATGTGCCGTCTTAAAACTATGTCAGCAGGCTTATGAACCCTGGAAGGTATATTGAGGACGGGACTATGTTTTCTTACAACCTTGCTTTGGAGTTTGCTTCTCTAGATAAGGAGTGAATTGTCTCACTTATTGATATAGCAAAAGAGTTGTTAATAGAGGTTGGCCTAGACCCCACATATAGTGAGTTGCATATTTTTTATAACAAATGTGTTCAAAATAATTCAAACAAATAATAAACAATTTCACACGATCATAGATAGAAAGCTTACCTCTAAGATGCACAAGTATACTTGCAACTAGATAAAGTACATCTTTAACATAAAATAACACATTAAAATGCAACAAACACCTGCACTTCATAAAATAGCCAGGTTTCATTAAAAACATGTTGATATGAATTTCAAAGATAACCACATCAACAGTGAGGTGTTTTGCACTGAGAATACGTTTCTCCGACGTAATTTTAGTGTCAGACAAGACGACGGTTTAAAAATATCATAGGCAACACAAATAAATTGAATAAATGATAAAATCGAGCTTTCATGACTTTTCACAACATCAATTACAATGGTATCTCGGCATATCATCTACGATTACACAAATTACATGCTGTTTATGAACAAAATTGAACGACCACTTCAAAATCTAACATATATACAATCCCCTGAAACCAAAAATTGTACTTCTGTCATTTCAGCAGAAAACAGATACAGATGCAAGACATTGTCGTTGCCACCTTTAGGGTCAACTTCCAAGGAAATTTTCCATGATGGCCAATTCAGGCTTTAGAATAATTTGAAAATTATTTGCCCGGTCAAAGACAATCCTTCATGACCTCTCCAAATAGCATTGGAAGATGTACTATGATAAATCTGCAAAGAACAAATATCACGTTTCCTATGGCTTCAAGTTCTTTCTTTTCAAAATGTTAAACTAAACATCATCCCAGATTCAAAAATGCGTAGTACTAAGATTAAGTACCAGCAAAAATAATCGTTTTTGATCCAAATGGAGACAGGCATTCATTGATCGCTGCCAATGTTCCTTATCTCGACAGTTGGCACTAAGCATATAATTGAACCATGTAGGTATCCATACACCAGATCTTTTTTTAGAACACCGGCCTCTTCTCAACATGTGGGAGAGACCCAAGTTTCTAGTTACAAATAAACAGACTTAACATCATTAGCCCCAAAGCTAGTAGCACACTGTGGACATTTGCGATGCCTACTCCCAGCAACTTTCTGGATACATGAATAGCAGAACAAGTGGTAGCATTTTGTAATTACCACCTGACAAAAAACAAGATACATAAGCTTTTCATGCCAAAAGAGTCAGATTTGGTTTCTTTTTAAATTTTCATTTGTAAACAAATTTGCAGGTGAAAAACATTCGCACACCCCCAATAGAGCACATCTCACAATATATCCAATAGTGACCAGTGCAGGCTGCAGCAAGGCATCAATGAAAAAGATATCGGGAAAATTAGAACATATTAGCTCGTGGCTCATATGTTTGTTTACCTCTAGGGTGTCAAACAAATGCATTGACTAAAATTTGAAGTGAGATATAATGAGTGCCAAAAATAAACCATTAAACCATTTATGATTTTCATTAAAAAAGCAATAAAAAAATCGTATCCATCCCCTAATTCATTTGATAAGAAAACATTCAACCAATAGCCCATCTATATATTTAATGTGCATTCTTCCTCTAATCGGAAATCCCAAGTCTAACTAGAATCTAAATTTTGACTACGTCGCAAAATGTTATTCAGGCCTAATGTTTCCCAAATTGAGACGTGAAGGGTCCACTCCAGCATGACAGAACACTTTTAAAAAGAATTGCCTTTCTAAAAACACTTTTAGAAATGCTTTTTTTTTTTTTAAGTTTAAACAAACGGAACCTATATTCACTGTTTCAAAAAGATTAAAGGGCCGTCATTAAATGTGATGCTAACGCCCACTCTAGAATCAGCTAGAACAAGGTGCTTCCAATGTGTTTCAGACCCTTGCACCACAGGTAAAGTCCACCAACATGGAAGTAACTTTGCCAACTGACCCACACTTCAAACTAATACCCTCCAGCAGCATTCAATTGCATCGTTTTAACATTTTCTAACCCACATCCAATCGCTTACAGTACATTTAAAAAATACCTCTTTTGCCCTGTCTTGGCAGATACTGCACTTGATAATTTCCCTGTACTCTTCAAGTTCCTGTTGAAGCTTTTCAGTAATTGAAGAGCCCTCATTCTGTTCTTTTAGGTGTGAGAACTTTCTCCTAGCAACCTCCAGATCCTCCTCTGCTCTCTTCTTGGCAAACCTAGTAATTTAAAGACAAAAGGTTCACAACTGTGTACCAAAAACATTTGAAGAAAAAAAATGTATACATTACAGATTAAATACCTTTCTTTCTCAAGTTCTACTTGTAACTCCATACGTGTCACTCGATTACTACCAATTTTAGATTGCAATTCCACCACTGTATCCCTAACCTGTTGAGATTGTCTTCTAACATCAGACAGCCTTCTTTGTGTATTTTCCAAAGTGACAGAACTTTGAAGTTTATCCTCTGCAAGTCTTTGAAACTGATCTGAACAAAACTTCAACTGCATACCAAGTAAGGATAAGTAAAAGTTCAAAGTCACATCTGAAGTATGATATAAAGCAAGACCCAGCTACCTGGTCTTCAATTCTTAAAGCTTTCATATCATATAAATTCAGGGATATGTTTGCTTGCTGGATCTCTTGTTCAATTACACGCTTTTCTATGAGCAGAGAATCTTGCTTCTGTCTTGCCCTCACACCCTCCAATACAAGCTGCACCAATGTGACATATATTAATAAAAATCCAAGAAAATAACAAATATCACTATATAATGTATAAACATATACAGTCTTCAATAATAATAAATTCTCAATGTATAACAGAAATTTCGGCAAACAAGATATTTAAGTTCTTTGTATTAGATCCAAAACCCCTGTGAATGAGATTTTTATACTGGTTAGATTAGTAACCAACTATATTGAAAATTCTATTGATCATTATACTAGCAGCAAAAATGAAATTGATTACATGGATGAAATCATGAAAAATCTTCAGAATGATTTTAAGGTATTCTTCAGAAGTCATTCGGAAGACTTGGGAAATCTTTTGAAGTGATAGAAGGATTCTAAGCAATAAGACTTTAAAAATTACTCAGAAGTTGAGTTACCATGTTTTAAATATTCACCAGGTCACAATTCAACACCCCCCCCCTCCCAACTTTCTTTCTTCTTGTGACACACTTCAATTTATTCTGTAAGTGACAAAATTAATTTCAAAGTTGACATGTACAGATTTCAAAGCCAGTAATTTATGCTAACTATAAGCAATCCATATTTCTTTGATTCCACAGTCAGACACAATCCCATGAGAGCTCAAAAATTACAGAATGAGTATCAAAAGCTAAGAATAAAAAAAATGGACTAAAGAAAGACGACACAAATGACAGTTGCAAAACAACTAGAATAGAACAAAATTATCATATTAGCTCTACGTTCTGCTAAACCAAACCAATGCCCATCCAAGAATGTATGCTTTGCAAAATAGAGAGGGTCTTGTTTATATGTAGATGGCGAAGACTTTTGAAATAAATTAACATCACTTTCAAAGTAAATTAAAAAGTTGCAACCAATTTCAAGACAAATTACCTTAATATTGTAATCATCTCTTTCGGTAATCTGCTGCAACAGATGTTGATTTTGAGTTTGCATGTCATCATATGCTTGTCCAATACTCTGCAGAAAAATCATGCCAACATCAACAGATCAAAATTAACATTGTAAAAATTAGAAACAATTATAGGCTGAATAATCAGTAAAAAATGTCATGCTGCAAAGAATACCACCCCATGAAGATAAGAAATCCAACCTCTATTTCAGATAAATAGTTCTCATTTTGTTTGTTCTTAGATTTCAAGACATCAGACAGATCACACATTTGCCTGAAATAGGAAACAATAGGGACAAATTGTGTTAACTTTTCAATAAAATAATACAGCACGGAGTTGAGGGCATACAGTTGCAAACAGATGAAGGACTGAAACATGGTTTCATGAGATCCTTTCAGCTGCTTTCATATAAAACATGTATCAACTTCCACTTTACCGACAAAAAGAATAAGCAATATCATCAAATAACAAAAACAAAAAGAAAAACAAAAGCATCAAGTTTCAAATTTCAAGGACACACACCTCAGCAGGTAAACATCAACAAAATAAAAACAACTATATTTTTCTCATATTAAAATATCAGGAGAGTTAACAAAAGCAAAAGTTGACAAAAGTATTTATAAAATATAATGACAAAGTAATTTGGTTTCAATAGTTGGAAGCTCAGAGGAATGTACAGAGAAGCTTATATAAAAAAGGAACAAGAAAAAACAAGTTAATGTTTATCAAACAAAAACTCGATAAAAAAATAATAATTATTAGAGAAAGAAAAAGAAGCTGATAAAACATGCTATAGAGGGAGGAAAAAATAAAGACCAATGATTGCTTTGGTCAAACACCTTTATTCTTCATAAACAAAACCAAGCAACCAAAAAGGGAACACCTCACCATTCATGAAACTTTATCAATGCAATCAATGGCAAATTGGCAGAATAGAATGGATAATACCTCTTAAGGTAAGCACGTGTAAGATGCATATTAGATTAAACCACACTCAATTAGTAGCATCAAGTTAGAGGTTAACCTTTTAGAATCTTCCAATTTCTGCCTCATGTCTGCTATCTCAGCTTCAGCAGCAGCTAGTCTTTGTTGAGATCTGGCCTCTGCTTCATTGGCCGTCTTAACTCGAAGTTCTAAGGTGTGCTCATCAAGAGATGATTTCAAACTCTGGACATGTGCCCAAGCTCTGTATTCTGCTTCTCGTGCTTCCATGACATCCCTGCAGACACATTTCTGTTAGTGTTCCACTAGTTTTAAATTCCAGACTAAGGCACATTACAGCCAACCCCAAAAGTGGGATAGCCAGTATTTTTAATTTTTTTATATAATTTATATAATGCATACTTTATTACATATAAATTATCAAAAAAAATTATAAAAACTGCTCAAAGTTAATGACATTCATAATTAACAAGAAAAAGTTACAGCTGTCTTGAACAAAAAAGTCAAGTACATGTGTCCTAGATAGGAATCATCAATGTCCTAGATAAAAATTGCTCAAAGTTAATGACATTCACAATTATACATGTCTCTTATCATTTTCATTTATCACATCTACTGAGTTCATTTTTGGAAATTAAAACCCCTATAGTAGCTCTCCAAAAAAGCATTAGAGGGTGTTTTCTTTGGTATAAGGAAAGTCTTTACTTTATTGAGAATCTAACATTGGGAATGTTTAATTACTCACATTTGGTTTATTATTTAAAAAATAGCATTCCTAGAAAATATTATTTCCTGAGAATGGTTTTTTCATAGGTTTCCCAAGAAAACATTCCTACAGGGGAGGTGGGAAACTAACTTTCCTAAGGTAAAAATAAAGTTTTAATGTGATAAAAATGTCATGTTACATTTATTTGCTTATTTAATACAGTAAAAAAACCTTGATTCACAGATAACATTTATAAACATATCCAAAAATATTTATAACCAAAACTTAATTTTTACCTCTGGAAAGTTGGTTTCCCACCTTCCCATAGGAATATTTTCGTGAGAAACCTATACAAAAACCATTCTTGATACTCAGGTAACATTTATAAACATTCCCAGTAATATTTACGACCAACCAAACAGATTTTCATCATTCCTAAGAATCATGATTCCCAGGAATGATGATTCCCATGAATCATGATTCTCGAGCATGAAAAAATTTGTCGTCTGCCAAACGCCCCCTTAATGTTTTTGTTCATAGAGTTTATTGGAATCAACACAAAGCACCCGATACAGCTGCTATTCAGCCAGCTATTTAGTCTGCTGCAGCCACTACACTAAACTAGCCTGCTATAGCAGTCTTGTAGTGGGAAGGGGCCACTCTGCACCGCTGTCGCACACTATTTAAAACCCTAGTATTCCACAATTTCTGTTTGATGTGGTGAGCAACCTAGCATTGCAAACAAGAACTAGATGTGACACAACTTCATCATGCAATTAGTTCAACTATAATGTCAACCATACTCAATGCTTATATGTCTTTTATTTTTCATAGTTTTGGTATCTCAAGATTTATTAAAAGAATTTCATTTGAAAGAAGTCAGTTTAGAAAATTATGTATCAATTGGGTGCAAGTATAGAACTAATGGAGTTTCAGAACAACGTAGTACAAGTAATACACACATATATAACAAAAATATAAAGACTAAAGTTTCCTCAACTCATAACTCTGCTCCCATTATGTGGCCAAGTAAAAGTATCAGCCGGTTATTCCCAGGTTATGAAGTGACTGGTGACAATGCGAGCTTGTTGAATATTTCCCCTAATCAAAAATGAGAATCAGCTTGTTGCAAGACTAGTATCAAGCAAACAATGCAATGCTAGACTTTTCACCTCCATTCTCAATAGAATGTGATGCATCGAGCAAAGGTATTGGAGCAGTACACTCACAAGACAAGTGTCCTTCTTAAACAAATTTCTATCAGACAGACTCATTCTTAAACAGAACAGTCTATGAGAAGGAAATCATGGCACTAATATTGGCCATCCAGCATTGGTGCCCATATCTTTTAGGCCATTTTATTGTCCATATTGGTCAGAGGAGGAGTCTAATACTTTCAATAGCTGCACATTAACACCCAGAACCAGCAGAATTGACTGGCTAAGGCCCGTTTGAGGTGGTTTTTCATTTTTAGTTTAGTTTTCAGTTTCAGTTTGTTTTTTTTTTTGTTTTTAAAATGTTGTTGACAATTGAAGATAAATAAAATAAAACTTATAATACAAACATTCCAATCCCATTGTAATAAAAATAGAAAAATATAATAATAAAGTGATAATACCAGTTCTAGAACCACTGATACTAGTACTACATATACTGATATTATTGGTCCAGTGCTTATATATAATATAAAATCACAAAATCAGCCATAAAACATATCAGCCATTTTGTCATACTATATTATAATAACCAACACAGCCGAAATATTATAAAATCACAATTTTAAAAAGAAAAGCTAAATGCCTAAAATAATTAAAGAATTTAAAGATTAAAAAAAAAGAGAGATCAATGAACTTGAATGGACCCCATCTTCACTCTTTAACAATGGGTGATTGTTTTCAACTTGAGTGGAGCCTGTAGAGAATGTGTGTGACTTCAACAATAGCAAATGGGGTGTTCATCTTCGACAAAATATGTCAAGACAATGGGTCCTGCAAAGAGACAACCACAACCTGGGTGCTGCAGGGCCTTTGAGAATGGAGTTAGGCAACAAGAATGGCTTGTAATTTGGAGGAAAAAAATGTGAAGAAAGAACACACAAATCGAGCCCCAAGTTTTCTATTTTATATGAGCCTCAAAACAAAGAAACTAGGTGTTGCTTTTGGCCAAAATTTAGGTCTCGCAAAATTGCTCCTACAATTGTGAGCTTGTATGATTACCAAGTGAGCTTGCATGAGTTCGAATGAGCCTAGACAAAAGCGATTTTGCACGTGATTTGACTCAGTGGAAGTCTCTGGGCACGTAAACTCGTATGGTTCTATGAGTTAAATCGTGAGTTTGATAACCACAGTCCACATTTAACAATTCATTTCTTCTTGTGTCTAACAATGAAAATTTAACTTATTTCCACAATTCATTTGTTCCTAAACATTTGTCCTGAAGGTTCATTGCAATGTTAAAACCAAATTAGAAAAAATGCGTAAACCAGAAGGATTCAGAATAAGATCATAATTGAAATTCGAACCTTGAATCAATGGACTCACGTCTAAACATTTCCAATATCAACTTCAAGTCCTGCTCACTCTCTCTCAAATCTTGAAGCTGCATCAAAAGCAAATGAAAGTTTAGCATGAAAGGGAATGGAGGATTAGAAAATCAACTGTATCTGCCTTCATAGAATTTATATGACTTTGCATGCATTATTAATTTCATAAAATGTATTCTTCCCAAGTCAGAACTGACAATTTAAGATACATCTTGCATAATAATTAAAATTAATAATCCCTATATATTATCCAAGTAAATTAAACCATCAATATTGCAGAGAATATCATGTAATGTTTTATGATACACCACAAATTAAATGAGACAAACTCAAGTAACAACATAAGTGCAGCACAGCTTAAGTTTTTGAGTTGAATACAACATACCACACCAAGCAGCCTCTTTATCTCAGCAAGTTGACCAGCAGACCTGACAGAAAATGCATCACATTCTTTTACCTGTTATTTAAGAACAAAACCCTTTTAGAACCTGTGAATTTATGCTACCAAAATATTTGGTTCATGCAAAAAAAAAAAAAAAAAAAAAAAAAA